ACACACACACACACACACACACACACACACACACACACACACACACCTGACAGTCAGATGTACTAGAGGAGTGCCTCTTCTCCAGTTGATAATCTAGTTTGGATTAGATCAGATTAAAAGGCGTCCAGGTGAGTTTCTCATAAACTCAAGGTAAAGCTAAAATTATAAAGTTGAACCAATTAGAATCTTGCTCAAAACATTTCCTACACATTCAGAGACAGAGCTCTGCTGCCCACTGTTGGCAGAAATATGAATGAAATAATGAAAACACAAGGACAAGCAGCAGCAAGAAAAACAGAATCTATTCAAAATAAGAGTGTAACCTTGACGGAAAATGTGCTCAGAAATCCTGAGTAGAGGATTTATTTGCCACATAAATGAATGATGTGGCCTAGTTTCAATCTAATCCAAGTTTCCTCCACAATTAAAAGAATAATATGTAAACACAACTCTAGGAAATGATCAATTCAGAAGTTGATAATACGTCTATTTCTAATGTTAAAAGAAACTGTTTGCTAACGCGTTAGCTAAGAGGTTCCTTTCTAAAAATACAAATGTGTTATTCACAATCATCTCAATGATAATTAATGATCATATATCTTTATCTGCTTTATGAAAAATATATTTTTTTATATACATCCTCTTAAATAAATGTTATGATGAATTTCTGCAGTCCATTGTGCTCTCTCTATTATCCATGTTCGCTAGCAATGCAGCTATAGCTCAGCCTCTGTTTCAAAATAGTAATCCACAAGGAAGGAACAGTTTCAGAGTTATTTGCTTGGGTGACAGTTCAAATGGAAAAGCACACAATAGAGTGCATATCTCCACCAAGGCCCAACGTTCACCTTAAATCAAATCAAGCTGCACCAAATGTCACACACTCTGAATATCAGTCCCCTAATTGTGTCTGATTTTTTCCATCAAGATCCATAAATGATTCCCTGAGAAAACTCTCTGTTTCTCAATGATAAAGAAATTGATAAAACATTCCTGGATCCAACATCTGATCCGTATCCGCACCAAAATTGAATTGGTTCATCCCTGACCTATACAGCGTTCTTCCTATAGGCTTCATGGAAATCCAATCAGTGGTTTTTGTTTAATCTTGCTCAAAAACAAATTAACAAACAAACTATGGTGAAAATATAAGTTCCTTGGTGGAGGTAATAAATATAATTTATGGATATTTAAAGATGTTACAAAAAACACATGAACTTCTTGAATATACATCTTGATTTTTTACTGAACAAGGAAGACGATGACAGACCGAGGCAACATTCGTGCACTGCACCTCATAGTCAACATCAGAAACAGCAGAGCACGAAGAAATGAGAATTTCAAAGGCTTGTTCCTTTCTGGACCCACTGAGGTGATAATGGGGAAGCAGACTTGTAGAACTCTTGAAGCTGTAGTCATGTAACTACACGATATTGTGAACATACAGGTGGCTCGGAGCCCCACTGATCGGAAAATAAGGCACCAAACGTGGGATCTGTCTGGCTCTCCAGGCAGACAGTAACACCATTAATGATGGATATTGTGGGGAGGGGGCAGAGGAACTTGTTTTTCACATTTGTCTGTCGTCAGTGGCTACAGTGCTGACGACAAATCTACTGTGAAGAAACAATGAAGAAGGTTATCATGGTTTCATTAAAAGCTCTTAACACTGAAAAAATAATGAAACCTTTGTTGCCTGATGAGAAAAACAAAATATCTCTTTAAGGTTTGAATCACAAACAAGGATGAAATCTCTAATGGTGACATACGTGGTTTAACACAGCATCCTCACAGAAATCATTAACTATCGATCAATCCACTATCTACTGTATACTGCTGACATTGGACAAGAGGCGATGTACACCCTGGAGAGGGCGCCAGTGAATCACACGGCCAACATACATAGACACACATTTATCTCTTTAGAACCCACAGGATTTGAACCAACAACCTTCTCTTTTGTGAGGCTAACCACTGATCCACTCTGCTGCCCCTTCATAGTTATACTTTTATCATTTTATTATACGGATACTTTGATTTATTTATATTTGCTCAACTCTATAGCTGCAGCTTGTGTCTCTTGATATTTGTCAGTGAACAACTGACTAAGTCCTCTGGCATCATCAGTGCGAGTCACTGATTGGCTGTCAAAGCATCTGTTTAAGTTTTGGCAGAGTCATTTGTTTTTAAATCTCCCATCACATCAATCTTTCTCTATTCATATTGAATTATTTATATTGTATCACAACAATTTCAAAATATTAAACCAAGCAAACAAATGAATTGGCTCATATACAGAACTTACTTTAAATTTTTGCATCAGTCAGATTGTGGCTGTTGATTATACATGCTGCTGTTTTTGTGTGTTTTCCATCCACTGTAATCTCATGAGCCAAAACCAGGTCTTTTTGTGTTTTCAAAGTTATC